AATACTTAGTTATATTACTTAATACCATAATAAACTCAGTTATGAAGCTTCTCTCGTGTGTTTAACTCGTCTCCCTAACACTCACCGTACATAGCGACCCTGCCATCGTAATCCCGACGTGTAAACCGATTATGATACGCATTACCATTTTTGGTGTGGAACTTTTGCTCTGAATAAATCATATGTTTCAAGTGGATTAGCGAAATGAGTGCGGTATTACTGCATAGAAAGTGAGACGTGTATACTGTTAATAAGGGGCTAGTTTAAGGCATTGGCTGCCAATAAAAAACTGTTGAAGGCAAATCCTCCGCTAATGTCGGTCACCAGTGACTGCCATGGCGTTTAACGTGTTAAGGATGATGGGTGAAAACGAACATAACAGATGCAAATACACTCACGAGCAGTACGGTACTCCCGGCTGCTTCTTCTCAATAACTAGTCTCTTGCCGCAGCCGGTGCAGAACAATGTGTTCCTCGATAGCGTCTCCACTCCTTCCAGTTCTGATAATAAAGCCTGGGTGGAAAGAAAACATTTATCTTATACTATTATATAAAATTTAAGTGTGGGAGAGCCATGCTTCGGCACGAATGGGCCGGCTCGACCGGAGTGATACCACGGCCGAGCAGAAAACCGACGTGAAGCAACGCTTGCGTTGTGTTTCGTCGTGTGAGTGCACACGAAATACGACGAAACCTCACTAGGTTACCGGAGGCCCAATTACCCCCCCCCCCCATCCTAGTCTCCCGAATCCCCGAATCTTCCACAATCCTCGAATTCCCAATTCCCAAAAGGCCGGTAACGCACTTGTAACGCCTTGGTGTTACGGGTGTCCAAGGACGACGCCGATAGCTTACCATCAGGTGATCCGTCGTTTATCCTATAAAATATACCTATAAAATGTATCCTATAAAAAAAAGCTGAAAAGTATTTTTGTTTGTTTGAACGCGCTAATCTCAGGAATAATAAAACATCACGCTACGATCGATAAGCGTCTAATAGACGAGTGAAACCGCGCGAAGGAGCTAGTAGTTACATAAAATAGGGATTGCCAATATCCATACTTCGAGTGTCAAGAACTCGGTATCATAAAGCTTCTATCAACCATAGTACAGACATATGTACAGGGAAAGTAGAGGGAACCAGATCACGAGACAGGCAGGCAGGTCACGTGTGCGCTGGACTGATCAAGTCAAATCGGCAACAGGAAACCCAGTGTCAGACTGCGCCAGACAATCCACAAACTGAGATCATGAGGAATGCAGTATCGGCCACCAACACAATTACGGCTGCCTCAACATGACCATGTTCGCTCTACCAAGAGCAAAATGAGCGAAGTGTGGTTATCTGAGGTCCAATTACCCTCCCCTTCCTCAATCTCCCCAATCCCTGAATCCCCAACGATCCTCAAACTACTAATCCCCAAAAAGCTGGTAACGCACTTGTAACGCCTCTGGTGTTCCAAGTGCCTATGGGCGACGCCGATTGCCATCAGGTTATCCATCTGCTCGTTTACCGGCTTATGCCATAAAAAAAAAATGAATTCATTCAAATTCAAATTCAAAGTTTAAGAGTGGGGGCTAAAACGTCATTTCTACGTATAAAATGTATGTACATAGAAGTGACGTCACGCGACATTTCAAATCAATATATCGTCGAAAGTATTCGTTTCTGTAAGAAAATAATAAATACGTGTCTAATGATATAAAATAATCTACAAGACGGACATTAAAATAAAAATTAGGCATCTACCCTATTGTATAACCTAATTTATTTTTTTACTTGTGTTATGTTGTCGTCATTTGGATTTCTCTTTTATATACTTTCTTGACATTTTTGTGATTCCATCATAATCATTATCAACAGCCTACAAATACCCACTGCTGAGCAAAGCCTCTTCTCACACGGAGAAGGTTTGAGCATTAATCACCACACTTGTTCAATACCGGTGAGCAAATACAAACTTATAATTAGAAATTATAAGCTCAGGTTTCCTCACGATGTTTTCCTTCACCGTTTGTCAGTGGTGTCTGAATAATCTTAGAAAGTACATATAACTCGGAAAAAGTCAATTGGTACTTGCCGCGACTTAAACCTTCGGGCCTCCACGACAATTCAATCCAAATTTTTGTAATTTAATTCAATTGCTATATGTTTGTATTCGCATGATGTGATTCCCTTTAATTGAAGGATCTCAAGGTTAATGTAACTTCTGGTGGATTATATATTATGTGTGTTGGGAGGCCATATAGTTAAATAAACTAACTACATTCATAAATATATTGCGCTTCTTTTGGATTTGGTAAAGGTTTTCTTTTTTAAATAAACTTTGCCCTAGACTAGGATTTTCACCTGTGTCGTGGGTGCGTTTACAAACATACAAGTTCACATACATAATGACACTCAGATAAGAAACAACAATTTGTGGATCACACCAAGTATTGTTCCGTGCGAGAATCGAACCCGCGACACGTTGCACGGCAGCCGGTTGCCCAGCCACCGCACCAACCGTGCAGTCAGATAATATTCTTATGAAAGGCCCGACTTCATATCTTTCAACTTTTAGCTCTCGCGTCACTATATCTCTCTCACTATATACCAGACAGACATTCATCAGAGAATGCAGCTAATATGCTAGTAAATTCTTATGTTTTCGGCTTACGTAGTAATTCGACGAGGAACTCGACCATGCTAGAGGCTCATATTCATGAGCAGCACTTCCCGACCCGCGACGCGGCGACTGTCGAGTTCCTCGTTGAATTACTACGTGAGTAAGCCGAAAACATAAGCATTTATTTAGTATATCTCACTAATATGCTAGTACTGGCAACTTTTCTAGAAATTAAGAACTAATAATATAGGTGATGTCAGTAATAAAATTAAACTGTCAAACACCAAGCGGTCACCGGTGACCGCAACCTATTGTTCTATAATTGTGTCTATAATGACGGTACTCGACGAGTTAAGTAGTATTAAGTACATTGATGTAAGTAAGTATCAACTTTACAGCAATAAAATTAAAGTTGATTATGAAATGCAAGTATCTGAAAGATCCTGAGTCTAACAACAAAATGTTAAAGTTTCAATGAAAACTGAACTCTTAATATAGGCAATAAGGTTTCTAATGGCTCATATTTTGCCTTGTAACATTACAATTTAGTTTTAATTAACGTCTCGGTCCCAGTAACGTCTTGCTTGCACTTGTTATCAATTCAAATCTAAACTAAAAATTACATTCTAAAGATATAATTTTAAATATCAGTTCAAGAAAAGCTGATTGAAAGAATATCTATACACTTTTATAATCTTAAACTGTCAAACACCAAGCGGTCACCGGTGACCGCAACCTATTGTTCTATAATTGTGTCTACAAAACCGGTACTCGACGAGTTAATTACCAGTTGAATTTTTTTGTTCAATTACCCACATGTCTTTAGTTATATATTTACTTTACTAAAGAGGTAAAAGTTAAAAGGTACATTCAGTAACTAAATTAATATATGATTGTCTCTTTACATGGCCAAACTGGGCTTTAGCATAATTTAATTCAACAAAACAAAAGTTTCGATATTTTTTTTATCTCATACTAGCTCGAAAAGGGTCAAAGACAGTTTAAAAATAAAAACAAAGACAACACAACTTTGTTTTTTTAAACTTAAATGTAGAAAACAAAGAAATATAAAAATAACAATATTGCAGAATAACAAAGGTTTATTGAACTGCCTTCTGTGTGTAAACATAGAGTGAATCATTTATTTTTATATTTGACCTTGAGACAATCAAAACACTTACTTTTCAGTATTTTTCCTAAGATTTATAAAACAACAAAGCACCATCACCATAGATAATGGCTTTGTTTATCTACTTCCTGAATTTTGTGGCAAAGGTAATATTAATGTAAAGCCTAAGCATAAAATTTTAGTTCAGCACAAATTTACTAAAAATCCTTTATGTAACAACTTTATGTAATGTAATATTTACATATTTTAGCGCATCCACAATAAAAGGCATATTATGCCTGATTACTTATTATCTAATTATTGTATTATTAGAATCTAATAAGAAAGACAGAAAAATAAATATAACAAAAATAGGGTAATTTGAATACCTGTAATTCCTCGTCTGTAATATTTTTGTCGCAGCTGACTGGGGTATCATCGTCGTTGTCTCCATCGCGAGCCTTGTAGGCTGCAGTCGCGGATATAAGCAGAGTTCTTCTCGGTCGAAAGAAAGTTTGTTTAAATCTTTGTATCACTTCCCTTACACTGCGGTCTCTTCTACACCTTTTAACCACCGTACTCACTATATTACATCTTGTCCAAGCACTCCACACACGAAAGTCCCTCAAAATAAACCTCAAAGCAGACATTCTACCAACTTCTTTTTTACCTAAATTCGCCAAAAGCCCATCGTACCAGATCCATTGCTTGAACAGATATCGAGACGTTACGAAGTAGCGAAACTGTACGTTGTTGTTTAAGGCCTGTTGTGGTAATACAATTTGTTTTAATTTACTACATAACATCTCGGGAGCGATTGCGAAATTATAACCTCACTTTGTTCGTCTGATTGAATGACATTGAATAGTGATGCACCCAGTTTACTAACTGGAAAACTGGAAAAACATTTGGGCTATGCAATATAATGAATAGAATAGTAATTATATTGTTAATTTAATAATCGACTACTTTCTTTGTGCACTGTTATGAATGTTATCATCTTAGCAAAAATAAGGTGTTCGTCAACATTCTCTAAGTGTGAGTTATGGAGATGGAGAAGTATAACATCTAAATACATATTTGTATGTACATGTTATCATCATATTATCGAGCTGTATCTTGTAATAAACTCAAGGATATTTAAATTTCGCGGGCTACGTTGAAGCATCTTTAACGAATACTTATATGAAAATGGTGAAACAGGCACTTACTATTAAGTAATCTCTGATTTTAGTTATTGTTTCAACTTTTACTGCTGTAAAATAATATGAAAGTCATATCGATATAACTGAAATGATTTCGTTCTTGTCGCATAATTAGACAATGGTTCCAGATTCAAAGGTGTACAATTAAAGCAAAAGATAATTATATTTTTTCTAACTCACAATCACTCAATAATAAAAAAAAACAAATATTATGAAATAAAATAATCAAATAGTATAATTTAGAATTATTATTAATAATTATGTAAACGTTGGCTCGGCCCTATTTTGTAATGTTGCCATAAAAAACTTGAATAAAAAGTTCTTTATCTAACCTTGACTAAACCAAAATAAGTACGCATTACAACAAACCGATTTAACTGAAATCTTTTAGTAAATACTTGTAGTAATAGATCTCAGTATTTATTTAAAATAATCAATTAATGTATTCGTTGTTCACCTCATAAATGAAATAACAAAAATCAATATTAAATTTTTTGATGCTGGCAACAACGAACCGCATTTTTCTTCTTTCATTTCATCGACGGACGACTGAGCGTTCGTTCGATCGTTTGTTCAACGTCATCTTTTATCCCTGTAATGTCTTATTTCTACGTCCCACATGCTTAGGGGTAACCGAATAAAGAAAAAATCCAAGAATCCCCGCACTAGAAGAAAAGTACGAGCGACGGCAACCGTAAATGTGAACTCAAAAGTGCGTGAATAGAGTAACGAGGTTCTTGTCCGTCCGGTTCGATCTGGATTAGAGCAGTTTGGACCGCAAGTCGGGCTCCCTTCCCCTCGTATCCCTTTACTAAGAAGTTTAGTGGTGTGTTATTTAGACTTTATTTTAATTATATTTGCATATTAGTGCGTTTTTGTGGTGTAATAGTTAAATAAAACCGATCCAAAATGTCTGAAGAATCGTCTGCGGATCGCAATGTCGAAATATGGAAGATCAAGAAGCTGATCAAGAGCTTGGAAATGGCTAGAGGGTGAGTTGTTGAAAGTTTTTTAGTGTTTCATTTAAGTTTTGTTTGGGTTATGAAGTTTTCCGTGGCATGTTTTTGGCCACATGATTGGACGAAACTGCCAACAAGGCTGCGTCACTTTTTGCACATGCGCTTATGTTGCATGATGCTCGAGACGTTGGCTAGCTGACGCTAGCAAGTTGGTTCGAAGTAGAAAGATTTCGACCTTATTCATACATTGTCAAAGATGCCAGATTGTGTAGAACTTTGGTTATGTTGTGTGCAACGTGCGCGTGTCCTAGGGCGCCCGTCGAAAGCATACGTCAAAAAGTGACCAATGACTAACGATCTCTTTTGTAACTTTTTTCCGCGTCCACAAGCCATAAACAATGATCTTATTATGTTTGGCAGTAAACTTGTATAGAATTTTGAATTCCGAATATTTTGCAATGTTGTTGCAATATTTTTTTTCATTACTTTGCCAAGTCACTACACTTGTCATCTTGCAGATGGTGTATTGCAAAATGCACCTTATCTGCCTTGAAATAAAGTTTAAAATCGAATTCATTTCCTATTTATGGAACCTATTATTGCATGGTATTTTTGACATAACCTTAAAATTTCTAGACTTTAAAACAGCTGTTAGGTCTAAAGGTCATCCTTTGGACTTATTTACAGCTGAATATAAATAAATATAAGAACTATAATCAAAACACCTAAGTAATTTCAAATTCAACAATGAAATAATAAAACTGTTTTAACTCGTCGAGTACCGGTTTTGTAGACACAATTATAGAACAATAGGTTGCGGTCACCGGTGACCGCTTGGTGTTTGACAGTTTAACTACCTATAGACAACTATTGTGTTCCTTTTTTAAATTCTATTTCTGAGATATTCTTTGGTCTGAATGTAGGTTCTAAATATTGTGAAATCTAGACTGCAATATGCTTTCAAAGAAATTGAGAAAGTATTGTGCAACTATATCCAAAACAATAAAAAAGAAATATAACATATGCTTAGTTAATTTAGTTATCCTTAATATAATGATTTCTTTTAAATAAACCAAATTATGGCTTTACATCTAAATTTAATTAACACATGTAAGCTAAAATGATGCTAATTTACACACACAATATCGTAGTTGTTTATTCAACAGTTTATGGAATAGTTTATTATCAATTTGCAATGAAATTCTTCCATTACCGGTCACTGGCGCAACCATGGTATCTAGAGACTAGAAGAAACACCATGCTTTATCTTAGTTTCTTTCGAACTACTTTGATCACCAAAAGCCACTTGATTGCACAACCAACTATGTGAAATGTTCCTAGATCCTAGACATACTATTGGCAAAGTTTCCAATCATACACTTTTTAAACAAAATCTGTGGCAAAATTCACTATTGACCACCCTGTTTTCCCTATGGTCGCTTCCAGAGTGCATGCGAATATCACCTTATAAAGGTCGACCAACAACTTTGTCGATTATAATTACATATTGTGTTCATTGTGTGGTATACTTTTCAGACCACTTAACATATCGCACACCTAGATAAAGAGTAGCACAAATCGAAATAATCCAAAATCGTGTTATTACTAGTATACGAATCTACGTTGTAAACTGCATAAACTCCAAAGACACCTATATAAAAATCTCTATTAGTAAAACGTTGAGGGCCCCTTAAGTTAGTTTTAGTGAATTGCCCGCGCACCCCCTCCCGCCAACAACAGTAACACATCACCAGTTGCGACATGTCGGCCGACGGAATTGATGCTGTCAATACGCATAAAGACAGGATTATTTTGAGTTGGTTTAATATTCGTGATTAACTACGCTCACATATCGTAAATTATTTTTAGTTAATCTGGTCTTGCATTAAACTCGTGGCATTTTTTTGGGAGTTCTACTGATTATTTCTACTTACCCCAGTATTAATCTACCAATGTAAGTATTTTTATATTATTAATTGAAAATAGTTTATTGTTGTTGAAATAATTTTACAATATTTGAGTTGGTTGTGTATTGCTGGTTAGATTTAAAATCACTCTTATTCTTAACACAACAAAGCTGACGTTTATTTTGATTCATAAATATTTCGTGTTGATGTTGTATTTTTTAAAGGATAGTGGCAAAATAAAATTAAATGACGTATACTTCCATTTACAGCATATTTTTGGAGTTAGTATAGTATTCGTGATTTAAATCAAATTGATGTTTTTTTTTGTACAGATGATGAAAGGTCGTGGTCTTCTATTACAACAAAAAGCGATGGTGACTAATTTACATGAACCTGAGAACAGTGGAATGGAGTTGGAGCCTGATCAGAACTTAAAAAAAGCCTTAAACGAGCAACAAAGGGATGGACGAAACTCAAAAAATGCGTATGCTTATGCTGTAACAAAGATGAGAGTAAACTCAATTACTTACTCATACATTTTTGATTCGTGGCTTTACGTAAAATGAGGGAGATAACGTGCATAGCGTTATTGAGAAACAAATGAAACGATACACAAAGTCGGGTCCAATATACTGTCCACAACAATACGCTACATTGATAAGATCAGCTAAAAAGACTGGGAAACCTTATCATGTAGAAGAACTGACACATGACAAGTTCCATGATCTAAAAGCACTGCAAGAAGAATGGAGTTACAATTTCACTGTTAATGAAAACAGAGAACAAATTAAATGGCACGACATCAAACAACTCCGCGTTGAAAAGCATCAGCAGATGACTTTCTTTTATAAAACGTCTTATAAAGAGACAGTTTTTAAGAAAGCGTTTGTAAGAAATCATAGACGAGCTCAATATCACCAATTCTCTCCTAGTTTGAAACCAGCGTATTTGCAAAAATTATCGTTAGGTGCCAATAAAAAGCGCGATATTATGGAATTGACAACACTCCCTTTCACCTCACTACAAGCGGGAGAAGTCAATGAATGATTTTTCCTCCCGAAAACAGCTTTGGCTGACTAAAATTTTATTTGTTAAGAAAATTATCCCCCAGATTTACGTAGATTCTTATTTCAAAAATGCATTAGCTTTCAAATAATTATTCAGTAGGTATGAGTACAGTAATTCTTATTTTATTCTTACTTCTTCTCACGTAGTTTGATATTGATGGTTAAAAAGAGAGTAATAGTTATATAATTTTAATGTTCCTTATTAAAGTCAATAGTTTTAAGTAAGTCCTTTTGTGATTAAATCACTATTTATAGTATTTTTTGGCAAACATACATACATGCCTGATAAGTAAATAGATATGATTAAGTTGTAACTGAATGAAAAAGTGTATGATTCCGTTTGTTGTACTGATTGACGACTAATATTAGATGAAAAAGTAATAAGTGTTTATATTTTGCTGAAGAAGAGCTGTGTTTTATTTTATAAAAATATTTTTATAAGAAATGTGACCTTTGTTGAATATTTTGTTTAAGTTTATCCTGTAGATTTTTTGTAAACTACATAAAAATAAATAACGATATTTTTTGGAAGACATAATTTTGTTTTATTTTTTATTTTATCCTGAAAAAAATAACACACAATTTAGTTATGTTACTATGTTTGATGGATATTAGATTGAAATTAAACATATTAAAAGTGCACTAATTCAAAAATATTCAGTAATATCAACATATTTGGAGTTGGTAAAATTATTATGCAATGATTTTGTCATGATTACTAACTTAAC